ACTCCCGTCCCACGCGAATCAGTCTGGCTGTGGCTCCACCACGCGCTTGACCAGCGCGCAGGCGCATGGACCGGGCTGTCCCTCCTCCTCCCACGCAACCAGGGCTCCCAGCGCCGATCACACGGTGCCTCCCAGTCACTCCCTCCTCCCTCGCCAGGCTTCCATCCGGCGCCCCGCCAGAAAACCAGGAAATGTCCGGTATTTTCTAGATTTTTTTTTTACCGGACAGAAGTCCCCAAAACTGGTTGAATACCGGACATCTGGCAACCCTACTTGGCAGGTAGAGTCCCCCCACCGCCCGTCTGCTAGGCCTCTACCCAGGATCCACCCTACTCTCCCCTGCTGTTCACTGCACCCAGCTCCAGCCTCTGCTGTGCTGTCTTTAGCACCTGGGGTGCTTCTCTGGCCCTTCTGGCTGCAACTCTGCTCCCAGCTTGGCTCTGCTGCTGGGCTGTGTCTCAGGGACACTGGCTGCAACTTGCCTTAGCCTGGCTCTGCTGCTGGGCTGGGCCTCTACCCAGGATCCACCCTACTCTCCCCTGCTGTTCACTGCACCCAGCTCCAGCCTCTGCTGTGCTGTCTTTAGCACCTGGGGTGCTTCTCTGGCCCTTCTGGCTGCAACTCTGCTCCCAGCTTGGCTCTGCTGCTGGGCTGTGTCTCAGGGACACTGGCTGCAACTTGCCTTAGCCTGGCTCTGCTGCTGGGCTGTGTCTCTGGTTGGCAGGGCTCCCCTCCCCAACTCAGTTCAGGCACATGTTGTTTCCTTAGTTCTGCCCCACTCAGTCTGACCCAGGCAGAAAACTTAGCTCAACAAAGGAGCACAGAGATCCTCACTCTCCTTGGCTTGCCTGTCTTAGCAGTCAGGCTGACCTGGACTGCTGGCTTCTTTCCATTGTTCCCGAGGGCTATCAGTCTCAGGATCCTGATTTCTCAAAGACCTTTCCCCTTCCTTTTGATACCGGGAACTAGCCAACCAAAACCCTGCACTGAGTTTTAGTAAGGGGCCAACTATTCCCTTCTAGTTGTTAGTGTCATTTGGATTCCTAGCAACATTCCCATAGTCCTTGCCTCGTGCAGCTTTTCAAGTATAAACTAGTTTAATTAAATAGGTAGATTTTAAATCTGACCAGTCAAATGGGAACACGTTGAACCTCTAAAATCCGGGATTCTGGTCTGGCCATGGTCTAGCTAGCAGGACTACAGATATTGCTGGACCAGAGAGCCCCATCTGGCCAGGTTCAGAAGCGCAGCCTGGGCTGGGCTGGCGGTGCGGAGTGCAGCCTCAGTAGGGTGGCATATTGCAGAGCATAGCCCTGGCTAGGGCTGACAGCCAGGAGCACAGCCCCTGCCAGGGCTGGAGGCAGCAGTGCAGCCTCAGTGGGGTGGCATATTGCAGAGCACAGCCCTGGCTAGGGCTGACAGCCAGGAGCACAGCCCCTGCCAGGGCTGGAGGCAGCAGCCAGAGCGCAGCCCTGGATAGGCTGGCAATGTGGGAAGCGCAGCCCTGGTCGGGGCTGGTGTCAACAGCGCCAGAACCTGGGCGCGCAGCACAGCCTGGCCTGGTACTGTGAGGGGCACAGCTATGGCCAGAGCTGGAGGCAGCGGGGCTGCTCCTGTCTGGGGCTGGTGCAGTGTGTGGGGGAGGCTGTAGGAAGCGGGGCCAGCAATACAGGGCGCAGCCCCGGCCGGGAGCAGAACCCTACATCCAGGTAGGGAGCCTTAATCTCTCCTTGTCCAGGAAACTTTGTGGTTCAGGACCACTCAGGTCCCGAGGGTGCCAGATAAGGGAGGATTGGTCTGTACAAACACTAAATAAAGATGGACTAAAAACTGCTGTAACCATTAAGCTTGTAGTAGTTAATTTATTGATTAAGCTTAACCAATTTAAATGAATAATAAATCAGTTTAGCTATGCCTACATTAGGAGTTTGTACTGGTTTTACTATGTTATTTTAAATTCAGTCTAGTTGAACTGGTCCAATTCTGTGTAAAGACCTAAGAGCAATTTGACTAGGTCTTTTTCTCAGTATGACTGTAGACTGGTGCTCTGCTGCTGTAATGGAGTTAAACTGATATAGACTTCATATTTTCCCAGGTGTCTGAAAGGGAAGCCCTTCAGATGACAGCTTTGGTGGTGAATACATTTGCCCGAAGAAAGCATTATAGTCTCTTTCCATAGAGCTGATGTAGGAGTGCTATCTCCTGCTCTAGTTTAGGAAGAGATCTGATGTACCTGTGCTCTGAATCAGTGGTTCCTAGCTAGAGTACATGTGCCCTTGGGGGTAGGCAGAAGTCTTCCAGGGGGTATATTGGTTCATTTACTTTTACAATAGGCTACAAAAAAGCACTAGGGAAATCAATACAAACTAAAATTTCCTATAGAGAAACGACTTGTTACATTGTTCTATATTTCAAAATATAAGGACAATATTTATATTTCAATTGGTTTGTTTCATGATTATATAGTAAAAATGAGAAAGTATGCAATTTTTCGGTCATAGAACGATGTGACACTGTTGTATTTTTGTCTGATCTTTGTAAGCAAGTGGTTTTTAAGTGAGGTGAAATTTGGGGTATGTTAGACCAATCAGAGTCCTGGAAGGGGTGTAGTAGTCTAGAAAGGTTGAGAATCGCTCCTCTAAATGAACAACAAATGGTCTGGTAGCACTTTATAGACTAATGAAACATGTAGATGGTGTCATGAGCTTTCGTGGGCACAGCCCACTTCTTCAGATGACTGGAGTTATGGGTTGGGGATATGAAAACTCAAAATAAATAGGAGAAGGGAAAGGGAGGAGGGGAGAGAAAGAAAAAGGGAAGAGGGGTGGGAGACAGAGCATCATTAAATATCTGGAGAATGGTTACTTAAACCTAAGCGGATAAAAATCGAAGTCAATAGATAGATTCCTAAAACAGGAAGGATACCACTCAGGGAGCTGTTAGCACCTTCAGTTGTTATTAAGTAGGTAGAGTCCCCACCAGCCCATATCACGATTGAGTCAATTAGCATGTGAATTGAATTTGTGGATTAACTGGGCTTGCAGGGCTTCTCTGTATATTTGGCTTGTAGAGCTGGTTTGTGACAAGACAGCTACTTGCAGGTCTGTCAGACTGTGGTTAGGCAAGCTGAAATGCTCACCAACAGGCTTCTGTATATTCCCTTTACATATATTCAATTTGTGTCCATTGATTCTTTCCCGCAGAGACCGTCCAGTTTGTCGAATATATATAGCAGTGGGGCACTGCTGGCATTTGATGGCATGAGCACAGCACATGGCGGATGTTAATACCACAATGAAGATTTTATTGTGGTATAATTGTAAAGATCATACGTTCTTTATAATGTGATTTCTTTGAGGCATTGCACAAAATCAATCACAGGTGGCACTGATTAGCAGCACCTTATAGGCAGTTTTGAGAGAGGGTGTGGAGACTGGAATATCTCTCTCACACACTTTGAAGATGTCCCTGCAGGTCAGGACTGAGGACCAGTAGTGATGTAAGTGGTAGGGACAGCTTGACTTGCAGTGGTTCATATTCTGGTGTAAGCAGAGGATTTGTTCACCAGGGTCTGCTAAATCTTGTAATTTTCATCACATTCCCATAGTATTTTAAGGGAATAAATATAGATAACAAGGCAGATCATTTCTTTGTGTGAATGATGGAACTAGGTCTTAAAGCAGGGCTACTTAACTTTGGAAACCCCGGGGGCCACATGATGCTCACAGCACATGCTGAGGGCTGCAACTTAAGTGTGGTTACATATACATGCAAATAGCTTCTTTCACACTGACAGGCATGAATGCAAAGATTAAGGCAAGACTACACAACATGCAGGCCCCTTTTAAGTTAGTTCTGCTGACATTAATAAAATGCAATATTTACCCGATTTCCACCCATGTGACAGCACTTTTAATGAGCAATGATGGTCCAGGAATTTAACTACTAAAACTCATATCAACAGAAGACTATTATGTTGACTTCTTTTTTGTTTTGGCTCCTACCCGCAGGCTGCAAACAAATAGGTCATGTGTTGAGTAGCCCTGTCTTAAAGTATAGTTGATCTGGTAGCCCCTTCAATTAATTTTTCTCTGCTTATGCTTCTGTTTTTCTTTACAGGCATCTCCAATCAGTTTTTAAACAGCAGAGAATCTAACAGCTTTGAAGATTTCTGCAGCCTCACACTCCGCAGTAACCATGTTAAAGAGATGAGTCTGACCAGTGCACCCAATGGGTCCCACACAGCTTGCTGCACAGGATCATGGGAAAAGGGTGGCAAGTGTATTTGAGATGGAGGAGGAAGGGTTTTCACTCTTCCATGGCTCGGAGATCCCCTCCGAGTATACAGGTGAGGTGGTCCTTGTGACATCTACACAGTATTGGTGCTGTGCTCAGTGAATCACACACAGAATGGCTGCTTAACAAAATCCTAGAGTGTGATCCATTACATGCAGGGCACTTGATGGGATAAACGAATAGAAGAAGAGTTTCAGGAGAGAGGATGGGTTTCTCCAGGACATAAATGGTGACAATGTACTGGTTATGTGTATGCATGTATGTGTATGTAATGTTGTCCCACAAGGAATTAAAAAAAACCTACTGCTATCTGTCATGGGAGATCTATGGGTTTAGGGCAGTAAGTGCAGGTGATAGAAGATGGAGTTCAAGGACTAGCTAACTTAGTGTCATGTGGCACTCACTTCCACAGACTTCCTATCTTCCCTCTTGGCTGGTTCTCCAAAGCTTCCCTTCATGGGTACTGTCTTCTTCAGTCTGAGTTTTCTGTATTACTACCATTCCAGCCCCTCTTTTCCTGTGACTCTTGGGCTGCTGAGCCATATTCTCCTGTCATCTCCATGGGATTTGATTGCCACTGATATATCGCAGTACTGAAGTCTTTCTCTGCAAACACCTGTTTATAGCATTGTCCATTGTTGCCGCTGTGGGCAGGGAGTACAGAATGGAAGTGAGAGCACCAGAGACAAATTTGGAAAAAAAATAGATTTTCTGTGTACTTTGGGATTCGGTTTTAGATTTGGTCTTCTCCTTTATGCATCTCTATCATATGCCACTGAAGGTCATTCCCACCTTGCCAGACTTAGGATGCATCTTGACTACATTCCTCTTTCGAAAGAGGAATGTAAATGAAGGAAATCAAATATGCAAATGAAGCGCAGATTTACAAATCTCACGCTTCATTTGCATAATTGCGTCCGATTGCTTTTTCGAGAGTTTTTTTTTTTTGAGAAAAAAAGCAATCTAGACACGGTTCTTTCGGGGAAAAAAAACCTTTTTTGAGAGAACCCTGTAAAACTAATTTTTTCAGAAAGAAGGGTTCTTTCGAAAAAGGTTTTTTTTCTCAAAGAACCGTGTCTAGACAGCTTTTTTTTTTTAAAATGTTGAAAAAGCGATTGGACGTGATTATGCATCAAAGAACCGTGTCTAGACAGCTTTTTTTTTTTTAAATGTTGAAAAAGGGTGAGATTTGTAAATCTGCACTTCATTTGCATTTTTGATTTCCTTCATTTACATTTCTCTTTCAAAAGAGGAATGTAGTCTAGACGCACCCAAGAGGAGAAAAGGCAAAAAGGTATCTAGTTTGAACACATTTAACTCTTCGGGCTGGAAGCAGCAGGGGCTATCTGTTCTCTTTCCTATCCCCAGAAGCCTGAAATTTGGCATAAAAATGGGAGCAGTGTTGTGCTCAGGTTAGGACAGCATTTGACATCTGTAGTAGTTCTGGGTAAGAGAAGGAGTTCTCACCCAGATGGAGTGTGAGAGAAATCTGGGATTGAAACTGACTCCAATCTCCAAAATACATCTGTGCCAACTTGGGCGGGAGTGGATTTGTGCTAGAACACTGGCTTTTCTAGGGAACTGGATGACTGGTCTATCACAGCCCCCACTTCTCTCATCCTTCTTCTTTGTCCATCTCTGTAGAAAATCCACCTCTGAAGCGGAAGAAGGGTCCAGCCCCCAAGATGCTGGGAAATGAAGTGTGCAGTGTATGTGGGGACAAGGCCTCAGGCTTCCACTACAACGTGCTGAGCTGCGAGGGCTGTAAGGGCTTCTTCCGCCGCAGCGTCATCAAGGGTGCTCAATATGTCTGCAAGAATGGTGGCAAGTGTGAGATGGACATGTACATGCGCCGCAAATGCCAGGAGTGCCGGCTGCGCAAGTGTCAGGAGGCAGGCATGCGGGAGCAGTGTGAGTGCAGGGGAGAGAAACATGTTGGAGCAGTACGGATGCAAGGGTGGGGTGTGTAGGAGCAGCATGGGTGCAGAAACCACTTGTGGGTTTGTGGAGTCTTTGCGGACTTTGCCAAAATGATAAGGCTGCTAGTGGAGATATTGATGTTACGGGTACCTACCATGCAAACAGGCCATGCTACCTGGTTTGTACATGGCTGGGAGAGGGGACTGCTTACTCTGAAACAATTTATAAATAACCTTGAGAGAGACAGCTGCCCACACATCAATGAAGTTCTTGGCAAGAACTTCCTTGTGATTCACAGTGTGTGAAATACCACTATGCTGTCTGCATTGTCAGCACTTCTGCAAGCACTTGACATGCTTGTAACTCATGTTGCATCCATACACAGAAGTTATAACAAGTGCACAAACATTGCCACATCATTGCAACTGCACTTGCACACACCCAGTTTTGGTATTCAGTTTTACTTCCTACACTGGGTTGTTTTGCTCTCTTGCAATGCTAGTGTAGACTTGGAGCTCCTTACACCTGGTATGGTCCTTTAGTACTCCTGCCCCCTTTTCAGTGGCAGCTTAAAGAACTAGTTCTGTCAATGTCAGGCCACCTTTTGACTGCACGTAGGCCCTAGAGCAACTTAATTGGTACTCTGCTTGTCTGCTTTCCCCCTTCCTGACACCACCAAAACAGTGGGGAAAAAAAAGACCCATAGTGAGCCATAGTACATAGAGCCATTTCCTGAATCAATGTATATTTTGCACTAAGGGTTGGGGTAGCCATGTGAATTCTGCTTCAACACTGTTGTACTCCTGAGAGCTGGAGAGGAGATGTGGTTGGAAAAAATCACAACAAAGCTACCTCTCTCCACACATCTCATTCACATGCATCAAGAAAATCCCAGAGAAACTCGCAGTGGTTCAACACCTACTTGTTGCGTGGGGGAAAATAACTGGTCTGTATGTCCTCCCATCATCTGCAATGTCCTGCTAAACCTGGGCCCATTCCACTCCTATCTCTGGATCCTTTTGAGAAATAGATACAAACTACATACAGATAAAGCAAAAGCAAGACAAGAAAAAGCAACAATATAATCCAGCCTCCTCCAATCCCCGAAGGCAGAGCCACCCAAATAGGTCAGTGCTTATAGTAATAAGATTCCAGAATATTTTGGACAGTGGCTCATGGGGAAGTTGATGAGCCTCTGTCATGACATCTACAGGTATTGTACTATAGTGTAGCAAAGCAGTCACTATTCTTCAAAATGAACATGTGAATCCTTTGGCAGGACAGAACTGGATTCAGGTGTGGCCAGTTCCAATCTCACAACAGAGTCCACAAAGCTCCCAAAGAAAAAAACAAACAAACGAAAACACCCCAGTATCTGCCCTGAAAGCAGTAAACAATTTGCCAGCTCACCTACCTGGTCCTGAGCAAAGCCTCTCTTCTTGCCTGTCTCTCTTGTTAGTTTCTTTTTTCCTTCAATGCCAATGTTTTTACCATTGCCTGAAACCTATATCACATACGTTAAAATACACCTGTTAGCAGACTCAGAGAGTTGGTAGGTAAGATCCCATGGAAAGCAAGTCTAAGGGGCAAGAGAATTGACAGGTTTTCAGAAACATTATTAAGGGCACAAGAGCAAACTATCCCACTATGTAAGAAAGACTGAAGTATGGCAAGAGATAACTCTGCCTTAACCAGGAGATCTTCAATGATCTGGAACTTAAAAACTAGGTCAAATTACAAAGAATGTATAAAACAAATAACACAAGTAGTGACATTACAAAGGCCAAGGGTCAAAATGAGGTTAAATTAGCTAGAGACATAAAAGATAACAAGAACACAGTCTACAAATACATTGGAAGCAATAGAAAGATCTAGGACAGGGTAGACTCATGACTCAATGAAGGGTAGGGATGAATAATAATAGAAAATGTGGAAATGGCAGAAGCTCTAAATGATATTTTTGTTTCTGTGTTCACCAAGAAGTTAAGTAGTGATTGGTCATCTAACATAGTAAATGAAAGTGAAGGCAGGATCAGAGGTGAAAATAGGCAAAGAAGACGTAAAAATTACTTAGACAAATGAGATGTCTTCATGTCACCAGGCCTTGATGAAATACTCAAGAATTATATTTGCCCATCTATAAAACTTGGAACAGGGACAACCTGGGGAATTATAAATCTGTGAGCATAATTTCAGTACCCAGAAAGATAATGGAGCAAATAATTAAGCAGTCAAATTGCAATAATCTAGAAGATAACACAAGAAAGGCCATACTGGGTCAGAACAAAGGTCTGTCTAACTCAAGTAGCTTCTCTTCTGAGAGTGGCCAATGCCAAGTGCCCCAGAGGGAATGGAATGAACAGAATAGGTAATCATCAAGTGATTCATCCCTTTTCTTTCATTCCCAGCTTCTGGCAAACTGAGGCTAGGGACACTTTAGGCCATGGTTTTGCATCCCTAGCTATCCTGGCTAATACCCATTGATGGACCTATGCTCCATGAGTTCTTTTTTAACACTTCTATAGTCTTGTTCTCAGCGCATCTTCTGGCAACGCGTTCCACAGATTGATGGTGTGTTGTATGAATAAATACTTCCTTTTATTTGTTTTAAGCCTGCTGCCTATTAATTTCATTTAGTCACTCCTAGTTTTTGTGTTAAGAGTAAATAGTGGTTCCTTATCTATTTTCTGTACACTGGTTATGATTTTATAGATTTCTATCATATCCCCCCTTAGTCATCTCTTTTCTAAAATGAAAAGTCCCAGTTTTATTCATCTTCTCATATAAAAGCTGTTCCATACTCCTAATAATTTTTGTTACTGTTTTCTGAAACTTTTCCAATGCCAAGAGATCTTTTTTGAGATGGAGCAATCACACTTGTATGAAATATTCAAGATGTAGGTGTACCATGGATTTATATTGAGGCAATATGATATTGCCTGTCTTATTATCAGTCTCTTTCTTAGTGATTCCCAACATTCTGTTCGCTTTTTTGACTGCTGCTCCACATCGAGTGATGTTTTCAGGGAACTATCCAAAATGATTCCAAGATCCCTTTCTTGAGCAGTAACAGCTAATTTAGATCTCATCATTTTATATGTATAGTTGGGATTATGTCTTCCAATGTGCATTACTTCGCATTTATCAGTATTGAATTTCATCTGCTATTTTGTTACCTAGTGATGCAATTTTGAGAGATGGTTTTGTAGATCATTACAGTCTGTCTCGGACTTAACTATCTTGAGTAGTTTTGTATCATCTGCAAATTTTGCCACCTCACTATTTATCCCTTTTTGCAGATCATTTATGAACATGTTGAATAGGCTTGGACCCAAATCAGCCCCTGGGGGGACACCACTATTTACCTCTCCCTATTCTGAAAAATGACCATTTATACCTGTCCCGTGTTTCCTATATTTTAATCAGTTACCAAACCATGAGCAGAACTTCCTTCTTATCCCATGGCAGCTTACTTTACTTACAGGCCTTTGGTGAGGGACCTTTTGAAAAGATTTCTGAAAATCAAAGTACGCTAAATCCGCTGGATCCCCTTCATCCACATGCCTGTTGACCCCCTCTAAGAATTCTAGTAGATTTGTAATCATAAGGTGGTAAGTAACATTCATCACGGATTTGTCAAAAACAGATTGTGTCGAACCAATCTAATAGCTTTCTGACAGGGTAACAAATCTTGTGGATGAGTTAACTGCAGAAGGTGTGATATATCTTGATTTTAGTAAGGCTTTGGATACTGTCTCACATGACCATCTCATAAACAAATTAGGGAAATCCAATTTAAATGGAATTACTATGAGATGGACACAGAACTGTTCCTAGAGAGTAGTTATCAATGATTCCCCATGCTGGCCACTCCAGAGTTGTGCAATGTTTTTTAAGTATTTACTTTTTCACGCAACGCATGGTCAACCTGTGGAATTCCTTGCCAGATAATGTGAAAGCCAGGACTTTAACAGGGTTCAAAATAGAGCTAAATAAATTAATGGAAGATAGGTCCATCAATGGCTATTGGCCAGGATGAGTAGAAATGGTGTCTCTAGCCTCTGTTTGTCTTGAAATGGATGACAGGAGAGGGATCACATGATGATTACCTGTTGGGTTTACTCTCTCTGGGGCATTTGGCATTGGCCACTGTCGGCAGACAGGATACTGAGCTACATGGACCTTTGGTCTGACCCAGTATAACCGTTCTTATGTTATGTTCTTATGTTCTTATTCTACTTCATGCTGATTAAGGCCTCAAATGGAGTATTGTGTCCAGTTGTGGGTGCCACATTCAGGAAAGATGTGAATACATTGGAGAAAGCCTAGAGTAAGCAACAAAAATGATTAAAGGTTTAGATATAAGACGTATGAGGGGGATTGAAAAAACAGTGTTTGTTTAATCTGGCAAAGGGAAGACTGAGGGGGAACATGATAACTTTAATTACATAAAAGATTGTCACAAGGAGGGAGAACATTGTTCTTGTAAGGCCAGAAGCAATAGGTTTAAATTGAAGTAAGGGTTCTTCAGGTTGGACATTAGGAAAAAACTTCATGTCAGGGTGGTTAAGCACTAGAATAAATTGCCTAGGAAAGTTGTGGAATGTCTGTCATTGTCTGTCTTGAAAATCTGCCTTGAGTGCAGGGGACTAGAGTAGATGGCCTTTTGAGGACCCTTCCAGGCCTGTGATTTTATGTACATGTGGAAAGTAGGACACTGTAAGGTTCAGTCCAGACCAGTGAGGATCTGTGTGACAGTTTGTTCTGCAGCTTGAGGTGCCTCACAATGTTTTCTTTCCCAAATTGGTCTCCTCACAAGCGATGCTCAGGTTGCTCCCTGATTGTCTGTGCATAGTCATAGCCCTGGTCTAGTAGTTCTGACTCAGTCGTCTGTCAGCAAACACCAGCTGCATTCTGGCTTCCAGCAGCCTTTGTTACTACTTGCACAGGGACTCCCAACACAGTCCCAGTCATGGATTTCCCTCCAAAAG